GATCGCTACTTTTACTAGAGGTTTCTTTTTCTTCAAGAAGAGTTTCTGACTCATACATTCTTCTTTTTCCTTTGTCTTTAATTGGTGTTGTCTCTTCTTTTTTTACTCTGTGGGGTGGTACCTCTTTTTTTTTTCTGCTTATGTCCAAAAGCTTAAATCTCTATATTCTTTATTACTAACGCTATTCGGAATGTATATCTAGAAGTCGCCTTAGTATTCGATAACTAAAAGGATATAGAAGTCGCCTCGGTATCTAATAACCTAGAGGATATACTCGAAGCTTCGTATGTTAAATATCTAGTTATACTGAAATTAAAAGTACTAGATCCTATACTAACCGAGTTTTATTAGCTATTTAAGGTAGTTTCTAGTTCCTCTAGAGATACTAGGAGTTTATAGCTATTTAAGGTAGGTCCTAGTTCCTCTAGGGATACTAGGAGTTTAAAGCTATTTCGAATCCTCGCCGGTTATAAATTAGTAAAGCGATACTAGTATATTATAACATTTAAAGGCCTTTTTTTATTCGCCGATAGATACTAGGAGTTTAAAGGTATTATAGGGAGTTCTCTTATTCGCTAAAGGGTACCGGGAGTTTAAAGGTATTTAAGGGAGCTATCCTATTCGTAGAAGGGTACCGGGAGTTTAAAGTAGATTAGAGTGTAAAGTAAGAGTGTTAATAGATAGGACTTATACCTTCGTAGCCTAAGTAATCTTAAGAAGAATCTTATTTAGATTAGTATAACTATAGTAGATACTAAGGCGACCGAATACTTCTATAACTCTACGCTTAGTACTACTAGCCTATAGATACAACGTAATTAAGGTATAGAACATTATTAACCTCTTCCTCGCCTACGAATAGTATATATATACTATAACAAAGAACACTCTAAGTATTATCTCTTTCTTCGAAAGCTTCTTATAACTCGGTATTAACGCTCGCTAGTTAGATAGTATTTATATAAGGAAAGAATACTATATAGGAGCGACTTCCTCTATAGCTAGATATACCTTAGTAAAGTCGAACGACTCTATAGTATTATCTTTATTCTACGTTCTAAAGTACTTTATCTTAATAAGTATATAGAGCTTATTCTTAATAGTAGTAGTATTAATCGCTACCTTAATTAGAATGTTATAGAGCTTTCTAAAGCGCTTATCTCTAAAGGCCTCTCTAATTATTTACTACCGATACTTTAAATAGTTATACTAAGTATATCCGCTTAGTATTTAGTCCGATATATATAAGTAGAGGAACTAGCGGAACGTCTATTAGTAGTTATTACGTATAAATCTTATAACGTACCGTAGTTTAGTATTAGAAGAGATAGTACTATATCGCCTAGTAAGTAACGAACTTAGTAGTATAAGAGAACTAGGTATCGGCGACTTTAATAGGAGTCTTATTCTTATAGACTACTACCTATAAAGTGTAGTATATACTAGGACTTACTCGATATTATCTAGGTCGTCTTTACTATTATTATCGCTACCTTCGGTATCCTTAAAGAGTACCTCTAGGTACTAACAATTTACTCTTATTTAAGAGCGGTTAGCGTAGGTATCCTATAGTCGTAGTACGTCGTACCCTAGGTTATCTTATAGTATAGAGCTAACTCTATAAGATCTAGTAGCGTTTAATAGGAGGTAGCGTAATATAGTAGTAAGTTATAGGCTAGTATAAAGGTAGTATTTTATTACTAAGTAGATACTTATATAGTCTAAATACCTACTAAAGTCGCTTAGACCCTCTAGGAGGTACTAACTATCTAATCCTCTTATTAGCCTAGTAATTCTTAGTAGTTCGAAGTAGTTTAGCGACCGGCTAACTATGCTAGTAGGTAGGCTGTATGCCTCCCGAGGGTCTAAGTTTACTAAGATAAAGTTTACTGAGATAATCCGCTCTCAAACCTCATGTCGACAGGGTTAGGGTTTGGGTAACAATCATCAATTGCTTTTCCAACACGAACTCTCTTAACGATCCGAACGGTACAGAGACGATCTCATGTGCCTTCTTATGCCTTTGATGGGTCAGACACAGAGACTTAATAGCGAAGAATGAATATAGAGCTTAAACATCACATAGCCGGCCAGATGGGGTGTTCGAGTGTAACCCCGCTCAGACGCAGCTCATCCATCCTACTACACATTCATTTCCATCTGTCCTACAATATCCTGTTTTCAACACTCGATCTCGAGTTCGACAAACTGCGGCAACTCACCCTTCAACTCAACGGTACCTGTGAACAAGAAAGACAAGATGGATACAGCCATGACGAAAAGAAGCACAGTTGATGTTCTGATCGTTGGATCCGGACCAGCGGGGCTGATGACCGCGAACTGGATGAGCAGACTGGGTGTCAAGACAAGAATCATCGACAAGAGAGGCACAAAGGTACACAAATCAAACGAGCTATGTAGACACAAGCTGACAC